TGTGCAACTATGACATACAACTATCTATTGGGGCTTTGGGTAAAAAAGGAGGAGGATTGGCAATAGATGTTAGCTCAGAGCTGGTCTTCCTCCACAAAAAGAGGAGGATTGGCATGGATGTTAGCTCAGGGCTGATCTTCCTCACAAAAAAAAAACAAACAAAACAAAACCATGAAAGCCCCTCTTATTTTTGGAGGAGGTTGCTGGTCTCCAACATGTATCGAGCATATGCCCAGCACCCGGCACTTCCTGGTGTTGTCTGGCTTAGTCCTCGCACACCCTTTCGCTGGGGCTCTCTCCACTGCTGGCTCTGCCTGGACCCTGGTAGTTGCCTGGTCTCTGTGTGATGAACGATAATCCCATTTTCAGGAAGAAGGGAGGTAAAGTCCTTGCTCAAAGTCACGTGGCATGCCAGTCGAGGAAGTGGAATTCAACAGCAATCGTAAAAGTGTTTTAGAAACAGAGGTAACCCAGCTGCTGCTTAGAAATCCCAGTGATCTGGAAGACATCTCAAGCCTTTTCCCCTCCTGTCACTAATCCCTGGTACCTCTCTTGGGACCACATGGAAGTGTTCTGTCAGTCTTAATTTTTCCAACTGTAAGATTCTTTGCTCTGGAAAGCTGGAGCTGTGTTTCTGCACCAAATGAGTTGCTGATGTGTTTTGAAACAACAGAGGCACGGAGAATTTGTCCTGCGGTGTCCTTCTTTTCTGACTTATTTTATCTTCACAACTCTCCTGTTGAGTCTGTTTCATCAAAGGCCTGAGACGCTAGCTCTGTTCACTTAAAAAGACCAACCTTCAGGGCCTTTCTTAGCAAAATAGATGTTCCCAGAGGGGCTTTCATTGTTGTTATTGTTGTTGTCTGCAATCAGCCACATCTCTAATGCATTATGAAATGTTTATGGATCCAGAGGCTTTCTTTCTTCTCTCTCTCTCTTTTTATCATTGGGTGATAAATTCAGTAAATAGGTTATTCATCTTGAAAGGGCCATTCATCTCTAAAGGGCCGTTGTTATGATGTTGTTCTGATTTGATCAAAAGTAATCCAAATGGGCAGGAAACCTGAGTGAAAACTTAAGTTTATAGAATCAAAATCACAAAAACTGACCTGAGTATTACTTAAGAGTGTACCATCATCTGTAGCATTCAGATGAAATTCTTGCAACTGAGTGCTGTTTGACCTTGGCACTTCGCTGTCTCTGGAGATGCTATTTTGTGGGCTCATTCAGAGAGCACCCTCGAGCGCTTTAAGCATCGTTGCACCGAGTGCGAGGTGGGGTGTAGTGGTTTTAGTTTACTGTGAGAAGGATGGGTATCAACAGTGTTATCTTGGCTCTTCCAAACACCAATTCTATCTTCTCCGCCTGAATGCAGATAGAGGAGGTTTAAATGCTGTTTCTTGTGTGAGCCCTTTCCTAACTCTCTCTCTCTGTGCTCCTACTGCTGTGTAGTATTTAATTAAAGCAATTATCTTTAAACAGTTGTAGTTGTTCGTAGCTATTTCTACATCAGACTGAGTGCTGGGGAGGATGGCCTGATCATCTCGCTTCATCTGTGCGTAGCCAGCATGCAGCATTTGTCACAAGCACTTCAAATTTCGTTAGTCAGGATCCTTTTGACCTTGAAACAGAACCCCAACTCGAACTGGCTTCCACAGAAAGGGGGTTTGCTGGTTTATGGAACTGACAAGTCCAGGGGTGAAACTGAAGGCATGGATCTTAAAAGGTGTTGTGAAGGCTTACACAGTTTTTCTCCATCTCTTAGAGCTGCCCACCATTTCTTTTTGGATTGTGGTGGCAAGATGGCTGTCAGCAGTTCTAGCAGAAGGAAAAAAAGGCCACTTTCCCAATAGTTCAACAAAAGTCTCAGAATTGAGTGTCAATGTCTCTGATTGGTGAACTTGCCTGTCCCTGAACTAGTCCCTTTGGCCAGGGGAATGCGATGCTCTGGTGGGTCGTCCTGGATCAAATGCCTGCCCCCTGAAGATGCTGGGGTAGGGTCTGCACCTCCCAGAGCACGGGGACAATGAGGGAAGGCACATGTCCCCAGGACAATCTGGGAACTGTTTGTGTATGGTGGGTGGGCAAAAGTCAAGATGTCCAATATAGTAGGTTTCAATCAGTATTTACTCAGTGAATGAATTAACAGATGAATGAGCAAATGAGAGCGTGCTGCTGATTCCATGAGCTGGTTATACAGTGTCTGGAGTGGGGTTTTAACAGATGGAGCTTTTACAGAGAGGAAGGATAAAAGAGAGCCTTGAAATCAAGTCATATAAGGGTGACATTAAATTAGCTGAAATATTTAACAAGAGATAGGAGACATATGAAAGCTGTTTCCAATCGTCTGAAGGGCATTCCTAGGGATGGAATATTCTAGGTCCCTACTTTATGTCATGGGTGCTGGTCTAGACACTTTGACATCACCCCACTTTTATTTTCATTTTATTTTTTTATTAGACAACCAATTTATGTTCATTATAGACAATCCAGAAAATGCACAAAAAAGAAAAATAAAAGTACTCCCATTTATTGCTAATTGCTATTAATATTTTGGTATATATAGTCTTTCAATCTTTTCTCCCTATTTATAGCTATATTAAAAAAAGTCTTATTTAATCTTGGTAATTGTGTTTGTCAGAGAAGGAAACTGGCTTTGAGAGTTTCAGAACTTGCCTGAGGTCCCAGATGCAGGCACTAGACTTCTAGGGCCAGAATTCAGTCCACATGTGTCAGCCTCAGCAGCCCTTTCTCATTTCCGGGTCCTTGATTTACCTGCTGCAGAACCAGCGGTCTGTGCACTAACTAAGGGTTTTACTGCTGTTCTGTTCTGAGGATCTTGATTTCATCACTCGTTTATCCACTCACTCATCTTCATTCACATATTCAGGAAATATTTCACTGGGTGCTGGGGGTAGGTCAGTGAATGAAGCAAGGCCCCCGTCCTCCCGGTGCTGATAGTCCAGCTGAGTTCCACATCATTTGTAAATGGTTCAGTCGACAGCCTCTAGGGATGTGCAGATCTGTGATACTATCAATTGCACTAGTCCCACACTTGTTTCAGGGAGCAACCAGCAAAGCAAGGAGGAAGCACCATAGCCAGAAAGCTGGACGGTCTAGTTTTATACATGCCCTCTGCTCAAGACCCCTCTCCTAAAGGGAATGGGTGTGTGTCGAGGGGTGGGAGGCTCAGGCTATGCATTACCTGTCCTCACCCTCCCAGGGCTGGCTCTGCTGGGTGATCCGGGGTGTAGCTTACCACTCTGTGCATATGATGACCCTATTTTCTGGACCCCAGATCAGAACCCCTGGTATGAAGCAGGGTTAGCTGAACAGAAGGAGGGAAATACATATTTCTTGAATGCAGCCTACTGAGGTGCTTTCGCATGGCTCCCCTTGCCCAGGGAGGCAGGTGTTATTATCCCATTTTGCAGGTGAGGAAGCTGAGGCTCAGTTAGAGCTGTGATTTGAGCTCAGGACTATCTGATGGCCCCAGATCCTATGAGCTTGCTCTTCATGCTCCCCGGATCCAGACACATTTGGGGAGTGGGGCTTTAAAAGTTTCTGAAACTCCAGGTGATTTGGTAAGTTTCATTCCATTCACTTATTTTAAAAAGTATTTATTGAAGGCCTGTGTCCAGAAGCTCTGTTAGGTCCGGGGACACTGGGTGACCAAGACCGATGAGGGCTCTTCCTCCCAGGGAACTTGCAGTCTGAGTTAAATCGTTGGAAGAGCGATGATGTTTCTGCACAATCCTTTGCTCAGTGATCCATTCAGCCATGCGCAAGGATGTATCAGTTAGGATACTCTGAGTTGCGAGGGACAGAAAATTCAGTTCAAATTGGATCATTGATAAAAGCAGTTGAGTGGTTCATCTAAACCAAAAGTGGAGAGGTAGGTAGCTTTCAGGCACACTTTGATCAGGGCTGCGGCTTTGTTTCTTTGTAGTTCTTTGGGCTCTGCACTTCTGTCTTTTGGCTTTGTTCTCAGGTTGACTCCCTTCATAGTAGTGAGAAGCCTACTAGCAGGGCTTCTGCCCTGCACTGTTCAACACTGGGAGACACACCGCGTAGAATACGCATGCTCTGAGAAGTGTAGAGGAGAGCTGTCCAGTGTGGTGGCCAGGCTGCCAGCAGCTCTGGGACCACCACATCTAGGGAGAAAGAGCTACCATCTCTCCCCGTAGCCATTGGATAAAAATTTCTGAGCTTCCCTCCGATTGGATCATCTCGGGACACACATCCATCTCTCAGCCAATCATGATGGCAGAGGAAATGGGATAACACTGATTGGCTTGGACCACTCAGGACCCACCCCTGGAATTGGAGATAAGGTCTGAATGACTGAAGGATGCTGCTTGGTGGGAGAGGAATGGAGTAGATGTTGAGGGGGCAGTGTGTAGTGTAGAATCTGGGCATAGAGAGATGAGTAGGGCATTATCCCCTCTCTTGAAAAGCTATGTTCTAGTGAAATTCCTGAGATTTTGGCAAGGATCAGACGAAGGGCATTTACATTTATTGAATGCTAAGCACTTTACATATGTTATCTCAGTTAGTTCTTATGTCCCTGTCAAGTATTTCCATTTCTCAGATGAGGAAACAAGTGCAGAGGTTAAGTTGCTGGCCGACAGTTGCACACCTGGGAGGAGAGCCAGGTTTTGAGGCTGTGAATCCCACATTCCTTCCTCCTTTTTGTGATGGTTGTAGAGAAAATAGATCATTAATAGAGATGCTACAAAGGTTCATCTAATGACTCCTACAATAAGCAGGTCCTTGGGAGTACTTATTGCTTTCCATTTCAAGCTTTTATTAGAGGAATCCTGCCTGCTCTTTTTCTTTAACTGACTCTAGATGGGAGGAGAACTCCTCTCCCAGGTCCAGGTTAAGCAACAGATAATTGAATGAGCTTCTGAGAAAAGCAGAACCATTATCAACTCACAATGCATCAGAAGAGATGGTTGCATTCAGATAATTTTACAAAAATGATTTCTCTCTCCTTTTGACTTTGCTGCCTGAGACTGCCATTTGGTTTTAAAGTCATGGAGTAACTATTATGTAATCATATACAATCCTTTCCCTTGGGCCCAAGTTAACTCACGTGTTCAAAAGACAGAATACATTTTTTGGTAAAGAGTTTGTGGAAAGCCAGTATGATTCCTAAATTAAACTGCCAAAACCAGGGCAAACAAGCTGGATTTTCTGATTTTCTCCAGACTCCGCAGAGACATAATATCCAACAGAGCAGGAGATGATTTGCCAAAAAGCATTTGTGTGCTGATGGTGAAATGTCTGTGTTTATATTGCTCTCTGCACCCAACGTGCATGTCTTGTACTTTGCTGCCTGGTGAATGAGCATAGATCTCCTGACCTCGTAGATCTCCTGACCTCACTTACTTCCACCCCATCAGATGTAGTAATTTCATCCTGGGAGAAATTAACAAAATTTCTGCACCACCACCACAAAATGGTGTTTGGTGACAAGTTGATGTGTAAGGTTTTCAACTTGGATGCTGTGCTTTCTGAGTAATTGTGTCTGCTTTTCTTTCTTTTTTTTTCCCCCAGATTATTACTGCTAATAATTAATTTACCTAGCCACATTTCTATTAGGTTTCTACTATGGTTTGGGTCTCAGGGAGAGAGAGTTGAACAGAGCATAGTCTAATTACTAATAGCCTTCGCAGCCCTCGTCTAACCAGATATCCTCCCAGTCTGTCCACACCGTTATAATTTTTTGGTTCTGACTTACTCTGGCAAACTTGTTAAACTGGACCTTGGAAAAGGTGTGAAGTAAAAGAGGAAGAGGAGAAGAACCTGAGGGTCAAATGTGTAGGCTTGAGTGTCAGCTAAAGACCAGAAACACGAGGTTGCTGGGCTCATCTTCTTGACCCTACAGGGTGACCACTGTGTTGTTATTAGGGCTGATATTTAGGGGTTCTTTGTTTCCGCAGCATAACCTAACTCATCCTGACTGTTGTGACCACCACTGTCATAGAGGCAGCAGGATCCATGGAGCCTGGCCAGCTTGTATGTGCATGTGTGTGTATGTGTGTGTGCATGCAAATATATGTTTGCATAGGTGTGACTCTTGGTGCCTCTTTGACAGTGGTTCTCAAACTTCTTTGCATATTAGAATCACCTGAGGATCTTTTAAAATTCCAAAGCCCAGGCCACACACGAGATGAATTAATTCACCAACGCTGGGGTTGGGACACAAATGCTAGTAGTTTTTAAGCTCTCCAGGTGATTCTAATATGCAGACAAGTTTAGGAACCACTAGTCTATGAGAATTATAATAATAACCTTATTACTATTATTTGAAGAGGTGTAGGGATAATGGTAATGACAGTGGTATTTGCTGTCATTTTCATTTATCGACTGCTGCCTATATGCCAGGCAGTGTCCTGGGTGTGTAACAAATGTTATCACATCTAATCCGCATGGTAATCCTGCAAGCCACCTCTGTAGGGGGTTGGAGAAGGAAAGGAGTGGGTCATATCTTTTAAACTGATGTCAGTTACAGAGTTGCTTAGTCCAGATTGTCAGGTCAAGTCCAGAAAGATGGAGTTGTTGGGTTCACCTTGTGGATCCCAGAGTGACCACTGTGGTCATCATTGGGGTGAGATTTAGGGGTTGTTTGTTACCACAGCGTAACCTGGCCCATCCTGACAGTTGCAACCATCCTTTCAATAACCACAGTGGATTCAGGAATCGAAAGGCAAAAGCACATTTTGCAAAGTTATAAATTGAGGGCGAGTTTATTTTGGCTTGTGGCTTGGAAAGAGAAACGAGTGTAGTAAACCAGGCTATTAATCTTGGGTTGGTTGATTCATCCATCAAAATCACACTGTGTGTGTTTCAAGGAATCAGGTTAAATAAATGGATGAAATGTTACCTTGTGTTTTTGTAGCTCTTTTCTCAATGGGGTACATGGTGCCGTACAAGCCCCATACCGCTGGCTAGTCTTTATGACATGTCTTAGAAGGAGTGGCAGGTGTAAGTAGAGTTGTGTGTTATTTCAGGGTAAAACCGGAACTAATTTACATTGAAATGCTTATCCAACGTCCATAGAGATGCCTGACTGGAGTCTTGGTGGGTAGGTAGGAGTTTGGTAGGGAACTGTGGGAGTGTTGGGAAGAGTGTTCATAGCAGAGAGAACAGCATGGGCAAAGGCACAATAGCAGGAAATAGTGTTTATAGGAACTCTGTAAGCAGTTTAGTATTACTACCAAGAAAGACACTGTTCCCCACTCTTACAGGTGATTGGAGAGTCTTATAAAATCTGCATTTCCATTTGTTTCTTCATCATTCAGCACACGCGTCTAACATTTTTTTTTCAACTTTGGAAGAGATGTGTGTGTAATGAAGGGCCAAATTAGGATAATGCTTTAATGAACCTCCTTTACCCTGGAGGAACACACCAGATACCATACCAAATGTTGCACACTGCTTCTTAGTAGAGATTATTGTACAAGACTCTGCTGATGCCTCAGTGATCTAGACTAACCTTTGGAAATGAACTCAGCAGTTCTCTGATAGTGCATACGGGAACCCATGTGACCCTACTCTAGGCTTAAAGTCCAGGCCTGGGATTGTGCTCCTGTGAGCCCACTCTGGGCCCCTCTTGGGTCCTCCATTTTCTTGAGCATAAAATATTGGCTTGAAGGTGAATTCCAAGGTTCCTTCCACATCTAAAATTCACTCAGAAACTCTGATGCAGGCAATTGTTAAGACAAGTGGCCTATTAAATAAAAATGCGATAAATGCTGAAATGGACTCCACAGACATCTTCTCCAAGTTCATGGCTTCAGACAAGATCAGAGCTTGGGCAAGGTGGCATGCTCTCTCCCATCCTCTGTGCATTACAACTCTGAGAGGGATGCTTTCTCATTAAACCTGTGTTCTAACATGAAATCAGCACAAGGATTTAGAGAGGAAGCTAGCTAAACCAGTTAAGCTTCTTCTTAACTTGGACCATATTGGATCTCTCTTGGAAGGGTTTTTATTTTTTTTGTTTTTTTGGTGAGGAAGATTAGCCCTGAGCTAACGTCTGTTGCCAATCCTCCTCTTTTTGCTGAGGAAGATTAGCCCTGAGCTAACATCTGTTGCCAATCCTCCTCTTTTTGCTGAGGAAGATTGGCCCTGGGCTAACATCCGTGCCCATCTTCCTCTACTTTATATGTGGGATGCCACCACAGCATGGCTTGATAAGCAGTGCGCAGGTCCGCGCCTGGGATCTGAACCTTCAGTGGCCCGGGCCACTGAAGCGGAGCGTGCGAACTTGACCACTACACCACCAGGCCGGCCCCAGGTTTTTTTTTTTTTAAAACCTTATGCAATATCTTTTTTTCTGTAGCCTCAAAACTCAAAACTGAGACCCTCAACTCTTTCCGCACTCTTAGCTCATGTTTGATATCTTCATTGTTCTGTCTAAAGCTCTGTATTTTACCTGTTGGGTCACATAGCTAGTGACCTAATCATTTTAGCTACGTTGGGGCGGGTTTAAATCTCATCTCCTCAGTGTTGCTTATCTGATTTCCTGGCTCTAGGGCAGTGGCCACGTTGGGGGTTCAGAGTCGGGTTAAGGCCCCGGGCCTGGTTAACTCAGGCTGGACTCATGTCATCTCTTTGACCAGCTGCAACTGTTAGGTGCCTTGCGCCAAGCTCTGTGCTAGCACGGGGGATACAGTGGTGCCCACACAGTGGGGCCTCTGCTCTCATGGAGCTCACAGGTTTCAAGGAGGTCCACAAAGGACCCTACAGTTACAATTATGTTATGTGCTGTAAACAAAGAGCACAGGGTCCTGAGAACTCGCACAGCGGGGGCTCCGAGCTGGTCTGCTCCAAGTTCAAATGCACGGACATGCTGAAGAGCACAGGCAAGCAGTTGGGGGCTGAAGGCATTAAGAGCAAGATGTGACCCCAAATACAACATAAAACCAGGTGTGAAGGGTTCAAGATTAAGCCCACAAACAGCACGAGGGTCCAGTGACCTGATAAAGTTCAGGACAAGGCCTTCCCCAGACATCTCCTGCCCTCTCCCCTCTGACTTCCCAAAGCCAAAAGGAATGATTCTTTCCCTTTAATTTTCCAGACCGTATGTCTGTGTCATTCCCTTGGCAGGTGTGTGTTGTTTTGTATTGTAGTGAGGTGGTCTGCCTTTCAGCCCCTGGGAGGGAAGGCTGTTTCCTGTACTCTGTGAGCCTGGGTGGAATTGTTGATCAGATGATTAATGAAAAGGCCTACGGCTCACCAGTTAACCTCAGCGTGTGGGACTCATCCTTCTTGCATCTACAGCAGCAGATCCAGAGAAGGCTCAGACTGGTGAGAACAACAGGTAACACCCTCGGTGCCCCTTTGTGCTCAAATTCACCAAAGCTCCCGTTGATTGAGGCAATTAATGGGGAAATTCTGTCAACTTGGGAGTAGTTTAATAGATATTAGCTGGTGATTAAAAGTTCAAGGTAAATTGGCTTTCCTTTTCTGCATCGTATTACCTAGTTTTCTTTCTGCCTTGTGATTCTGTTTCCATTCATAGAGTAACTACCTGCCAAGAGCCTTCTGTTCGCTTCGGCACCTCCTGTCCTTCCGATGCTCCCCTTTAGGTTCACTCCCACCTTGCCTGGCCACTTCTTCCAGGCCTCTGTCATTTTCTCCTGTCTGCACACTTACCTGTTTGCATGCCTTCTTTTTGAACAAACAAAATTGTTCAAAACATTGAAGGAGAATAAAAAAATTATTCCATCTCTACTGTCATTCTCTTATCATTGAGTTTGAACTTCTCGGATTCTGTCTACCATTTTCCCATCGGGGTACACGTTTTATGTTAACAGCATTCTGTTATATATACACTTTTGTACTTTGCTCTTTTAACTTCATGTTCACAATTTTTCAATCAACAAATGTTAACTGAGCTCCTACTGTGTGCCAGGCATCATTCTAGGGGCTGGGGATAGATGCATTAGTGAACAACCCAGACAGATCCCTGCTGTCCTGGAGCTCCCGCCTAGTTCATGGAGAGAGACAATACACACAATACACATTCTGTAAGGAGGTGATCACTATTATGGAACCAACAGTAGAGTTAAAGAAGGTGGGGAGTATTAATTTATAATATATTTTCTCATGTTGCTACGATCTTTCTGTGTACTCAGTGGTTGTATATTACCTTAATGTCGATGGATTATAATTTATTGAGGACCTTAGGACTATAAATGTTAAATCTGGACCGGACTTATGAGTCACTGAGAGCAAACGTTTCATTTTTGAGGTGAGTTAACAAGTCTAGAGAAAAGAAATGACTTGCTTCAAATCATACAGCCCCTAAGTGGCCAAGCAGGCACTTTTAAATTTTAATTAAATTGATTTTCGTTAATTCTAAAGACAGTTCTTTCAGAACCCTACTATGCTGTTTCCCTATTGTGGGAAATTTAATTTGTTTCTGGTTTTTGTTATAAAGAATGCTACAATGGGCAGCTTTATACAAATGCTATCTTAATGAAGGTAGCAAGTTAATAATAACAATAATAATGAATGATAGAAAAAGCTAATATTTATTGAGCACTTAAATTTGCCAGGAACTGTGCAAAGTGCTTTACATGAAATAATTTAATTCTGACAATGAGTACCATTACTGTCCTATTTTTAATTTTTTTGCTGGGGAAGATTCACCCTGAGCTAACATCCATTGCCAGTCTTCCTCCTTTTTTTTTTTATGTGAGCTGACACCACATCATGGCACTGACAGACGGGTGGTGTGGTTCTGTGCCCGGGGAACCGAACCCAGGCTGTCGAAGCGGAGGGCGCCAAACTTTAACCACTAGGCCATCGCGGCTGGCCCCTATTTTTCACAGATAAGAAAGTGAAGGGATTCAAACTCAGGTCTGTCTGAGTCCAAAGACTGAGCTCTCAGCTACCACATACAGCCTTCCGAGTTTGAATACTAAAACAGCAAATTTCAAAAACCAAAATATCAATATTTATTTAACAACTAAAAGTTACTAAGAACATTTACATATTAGGGTAAACTATATGTAACTGCTGTTTTTTGGGTAAAAAGTGACCACATATTAGCAATTTCATATGTTCCATCTTTCCTGTTAATCCTCACAAAAACAGTGAATTCGGTGGTTATTGTACCTATTTTATTTTATTTTTATTTTTTTTGCATTAGCTTTTTAAAAAATTTTTTTATTGCATTAACATTGGTTTATAACATTATATAAATTTCATGTGTACATCATTATATTTCGATTTCTGTATAGATTACATCATGTTCACCACCCAAATACTAATTACAATCCATCACCACACACAGGTGCCTCATCATCCCTTTCGCCCTCCTCCCTCCTGCCTTCCCCTCTGGTAACCACCAATCCAATCTGTCTCTATGTGTTTGTTTGTTGTCATTGTGCCTGTTTTACAGATGACTAGTCTAGTATTTTAGGTGGAGCTTGGACATTGGGTGATTTAATTAATGTTTGTAGAGAGAAGAGAGGAGAGAAGAGGTGGGAGGCAAGGCAGATAGAGTGACTTATGCAAAGGAAACAGCTGCTACGACCTGCGATTGAATCCTGGCTCATCTCTTAGTAGCTTTGTGACCTCCAGCAAAGTACTTAAATTCTTTCTACCTCAATTTTCTCACCTGAAAACAGAGTAATAAAATCTCTCTCACGATGTCATTATAAGGATCGAGTTATAAAATGGGTAGAAATTGTTTTGTTCAAAACCAGCAGAAACTAAGCCATGGATCAGAGGTGTTGGTGGTAGTAGTTCCTTCTGTTATTATTATATTTCAGAACAAACCCCTTTCTCTTTCCTCTAACCATGATGTTTCTGTAAAACACACAAAAAATCTTTTAAAAATGGCATCAGTAAATAAATGACCTTGGCACAATTAGGGATTCTCATTCTTTGCAGATAAGGTGTTCCTCAGACTCTGACCCTGTAAGGTGGGTGGAAAAGCAGAAATTACCCTTTCTTGGGTTTCCAGGTCACAGTGGGGCGAGGCCCGGGAATGGAGGGCCTACCCAGCCATTCCTCTCCCTTCCATTCCTCCCGTGCCATCTCTGATTTTATGATATCTTGTCCTCTCCTTCAGGTGACCCCCTCCTGTGCCTGTGTATCTTGATAAGGTGGCCCAGCCACAGTGGGGGTGGGCAGGTGGGCACAAGCAGCCAGTGCCCTTCAACACGGAGCGGTCCTGCTGGAGTGGAGTCTCCTCTTTCTGTCTGCTTCACCAGACAGAAAGGGGTGTGACTGGAGGGGTGTGACTGTCAGAGCTGAAAATGCCAAGTGGCTGCTGAACCACACGATGGCCTAAAGACTGTTTGTGGAAACAGGGCAGCTCATCCTGAGTGGGCCCTCCTGGGTTTTTCTGCAGCCAGCTCGTCGCTAAATGGGGCAGTGGGCTTTGGGCTGCAAACTGCTTACAGCGTCCGTAAACCCCAGGGACCAGCCTTTCCCTCTTGGGAAACACTTTGCCTCCTGGCGGGGCTTGAGAGGGAGAAGTGAAGGCTTGCAGAAAGTCTTTCTTTTCCTCTTTTTACCATTAAAATCTTGGCAAGAAAACACGCTTTTTTATTTCTGTCGCCTGTATCAGCAGCAGATTCCCAGATTGAACTCCTAGGCACCGTCCTGGCTTCATCATACTTCGCTTTTCCGGCTGCAAACGATTTTGCTTCTCTAGTCGATGGAGACTCTTAATAACTCCAGGTGGTGAATGGGCGGTGGGGAGTACAGTTCTGTAGAAATACAGCTCGAGAGCAATACAAACAGAGAGAAAAAAAATGGGATGCTTGTCAAGAGGGAAGTGTATTAAAACAGTTTACCTTTATTGACATTGACTTTAGCTTAACAATAGGAGATTTGTTAAATGCTTTATGGCATAGCTATGTGGCGGAGTATTATATAGCCTCTAACCACGAGGTAGCTGAAGTACCTTTATTAAGGAAAGATGATCAACATAGATCATGAGATGAAACAGCAGATTACAATTCGGTATATGAACCATTTTTATAGAAATATATGCATTATCTTTTTATAGATATAGACATAGAAAACCATTTGGAAGGGTATCCACATGGTGTGGGAGGTTGGATCATGAGTTTATATTTTCTTCCTTTTGCTTATCTGTATTTTCAAATTTTTTCTGTAATCAACATGTATTATTCACATAATCAGGGTGAAAAAAAGGTACAGAGGGCCAGGAACATCCCTTTTTTACCCGATCCTTCCACATATTTACTGAGGGTCTCCTAGGGGCCGGGTGGGCACAGTGATAGGTGTTGAAGTGGGCAGGATAGCCCTGGCCTCTGCCTTCACAGAGGTGACGTTTTAGTGAGAGGCTTTTTTAGTTAAAACATTTTTAAGCTACAAAATAAAAATAATTACAGGTTGTGATAAGTACTGAGAAGGAAAAGCCAGCGACATACTAGGGAATGACCGAAGGGAGGCTGGGGTTCGACTTTAGGAACGGTGATGGGGAGGACCCCTTTGATGAGGTGACCCTTGAACCTGGAGCCCGAGGAACAGCCACGAGAAGAGGCCGGAAAGAGTATTCGAGGCACAGGGAAGGACAGCAAATGCAAGGCTGTGAGAGCCCACTGCCTCCCTGCAGGTCCCTCAGAGGGCTGGGGAAACTAGACCTGGAGCCGCCCGCTCGTGAGGAATGTGTTACATTTGGAAATGTGATGGAGGCTCATCGATAGACTTTGTAACTCGGGAAATACGGCCATCAGGATAACTTTGTGGCTCCTGAGAGATTGGTTAGTGTTTTGCTAAATAACAGGAGCGTGTTGGGTTTGAGCTGTTGGCTTTTTACTTTGGTTCTTTTGGAATAGCAGCTCTGATGCCGTCTTTGGATGCTGGGTGAGCTTCGAGCCCTGCCCAGGGATTCTCAGGCTTCTTCCCCTCTCTTCTGCCTTCCCTCAACTACCCCAATTAGATGCTCACCCATAACTCCCTAAGACACTGGAGTCTTAGTCCTTAGCCTTGAAACCCTGGCTGTGGCGGAAATATTTGGAAGGTGCCTCTTTTTTCAAGGATTCAGCGCCTGTATTCATTCATTCTTCAAAGAGGAGGAGGGAAGCAGTTGCTAGAAGTCCCTGAATGTTAGACTGAGGACTAAAACTGTTCACAGAGGCAGCAAAAACTATATGCTAGGTGCTTAAACATGTTGAATGGTGTTATTTGAGTTAACGAGGGCAGCAGCTACTCACAGAGCCCTCTCCAAGGGCAATTGGGCAATTCAAATCAAGAACCAAAACAGTGTTCAGATCTTTGGACCCACTAATTACAATCCAGGGAATTTATGCTGAGCTCATAATTCTTTTTTAATGGGGAGAAACCAAGAAAACAACGATGTCTGTAACAGCAGTAATAGTCAATCATGGCACAGTGCTTTGGGGTTTTGAACGTTTTTTCCTGTACAGTATCTATAAGAGCTTCCCAACATTCCTGTGAAGTAGGTCCTTATGCCCATTCCACAGACAGGAAATGGAAGGTTAGAGAGATTGAGTGCCTCCAGCACATCTGTCTGTGGGTTTGCTCAGAAACTCAAGGTACAATGGTGAGAGTCAGAAAGCATAAGGGGGAGGGAACTAAGACTGAAAATAATTATTAAACTTAAATCTATGCCTAGTTCTGTCCCAAATGTTTTACAAATTTTATCTAAGTTAATCCTTACAATAAATTTGTGGGGAAACTGAGGCTCTGAGAGGCTGAATAACTTGTGTAAGTTGTAGAACAGGTTTCACACCCTGGCCAAGCTAAATCTAGGGCTTTGAGGCCGTTTCCATTCTGCTTCATAAGAATGCATTACTGAATGAATGAATGAATGAATGGATGGATTATGGGGGTTAAGACTGGAGAACCAGCTTCTGTATGGAATTAGACATCAGGATTCTCATGGATGATAGGTGCTTTTTCACAGCTCTGCAGTTTCGACATGCAATACGGGTGCCCAAGCCTCTCCCTAGAGAGTTGCAGCCTCGCTGGCCCTTGAGGCCACACTTTTCCAATACCCTTCACCTAAAGGCTCTCTTTCCTCGCTCAACTCATCCCTTGCAAAATGCCCAGAGCCGAATGAGTTTAGGGCAAACCGGGCATGCAGGGTGTGGACCTTTAGCAACTGAAGGAAACTGAGCTATTTCAACATGATGAAATATTCTGCAGCCATTAAAATGATAAATGTGACTGTAGAAATATGAAAGTGTTGGGAAATAGTTACACATATCTGAAGATAGCAATGAAAGCAGTCTGCATTTTCATGGATAAAGGTTAGAAGAGAACTGGAATGAAAACTGTGTAAAGGTCTTGGGATCAGATGGTGTCACCATCCAATTAGTCTGCTGGGCTAGGAACCTCAGGGTCATGTCCCACAGCTCCTGCTCCTCCTTCCTCCAGATTCAACTAGTCACAAACTCCTGTAGATTCTAGATCTGTAAGTGTCTTAATTCTGGTGCCCATTCTTCCTCTCCTTTGCATTTCCTAACCCAGGCTCTCATTATCTCTGACCTGGAACCCAACAGCCTCTTCACTGGTCTGCTGGCCTCCATTGTCTCTCCCACCGTTGTCCACATTGGAGACTGTGGTCAGGGTGATCTTGATATAAAACACATCTGATTATGTCTGTCCCTGGCTTAGAAGCTTCTGTTTGCTCGTTGCCTTCAGGAGGCAAGTTCAACCTCCTTAGCATGGTGCATAGTCCTTTACAATCTCACCACCCCAGTCTTACCCCAGCATGTCATGAACTCCTCTTATTCTGCCCATGTTCCTTTTCTTCTTGGCCCTTCCCCCATCTCTTCAAGAAAGGCTCATCCTCTCTGAAGCCTTCACAACCAGCCGTCCAGTCCCGGGGACACTTGGTTCCTCCACCCTCCTAAATTACAATGAATCATGCTGTGTTGTAATTGTGAGGTTCCAGCTCTTCCTGTCACTGAATTCTGAGCTCCTCCAGGGTAGGGACCACATGTCTTACTGTCCTCCACCCTAGATCCCCAGCAGGGGTGCCTAGGACTTAGTAGGGGGGCAAAAATATGTGTTGAGTGAATGAATCAATGCTTGAGTGAAACAATTTATTCTTGATAATGTTTTAAAATTGATTTACTAAAAAATAAAAATTTCAAGGAAAACAACATTTAAAGAAAGTAACAGGATCTTCTGAAATTTATAAAAGTAGACAGAGTCAAGTTAGTGTAAATGGAGACAAACTGTGGAGTTGACAGATTAGGTTTGAATCCTGGATCTCTCGCATACCGAGCCTCGGTTTCCTCATTTATAAAGTGGACATGATAATAGTAGCATATGGAGTGGTTATAAAAAGCAAAGAGGAAATGGAAGGCAGGTGGCACATAGTAAGGACTCAAAAAATGCTAGCAAGCCACAGTGATAGAATCATCGAGAGCCTACTGCTTTTATGTAAACATCTCTTTTTGTATCCTTCTGCTTGTTTTTTCAACATAAAACTTTGAAAGCTTTGACCTCAGCTGAAATGTGATTCCATTCGTGCAGAATGATGGAGAAAGGATCAGGGAAGAACAAATTCAGCACTTCTCTTAGGGTATTGTTTGCTGTTCTCTCTTTCAGGGCATCCCACGTGGGGTCGTGCTTGAGTTTACTGGTGAGTTCCTGCACAGGTCAGGAATAGGTCTAGGGCTGATGAGGAGAAAGGTGTCTCTGACAGAGGTATTCCCCCCTCCTCACAGGACTCATCCTGTTTTATGCTTATCACTCATGAATGGGCTGTTTTCTTTGCTGGGCTGTAAGCTCCCCCAGGTGAGCATCATGTCTGTGTTGCTCCCCAGAGATAAAATTAGGACCAATGGATGAAAATTGTTGAGTATCAGATTTCTGCTCAGTGTAAAAGAAGAGGTTCCACACAATTAGAGGAGGCCGACAGTTACAATAATGAGCTCCCCATAATTGGAGATATTCAAGCTAAATTGGATGCTCATGTGTTGAGGATACTATGGTAGAGATTTCTGCTTTGGTGAGAGATTGGGTTAGAGGTGTGTGGTTACTCAGAGCTCATATCTAAGGGACTGGGCAGGTATATGAACTCTTCCTCTGGTTCAAATTGAGGACAGTGGGTTTATATGGATCAGGGTTAAGAGTGGCTGTCAGTGTGTCAGACAAATGGACCAAAGTCTTGGATTGTGAAGACTGTTCTATCAGCATCAATGTTTGCAAAATATCGGCTCCCTCAGTTTAATTGAAATTGATGAAGATTATAATAGAGACAATATAGAAACCCCAAATCATCCTATAGTGTGATAATTAGGGTAAAAATCTGAGGCCTAGGACTCTTGCCCTTAGTGTGTGCCTTGAAAAAGCCACCTAACCTCTCCATGACTCTCTTAACACATTTCTATGTAATATGGCGGAAACCATTTGGTCTCCATGTAACTCAAGAGGAAGCCAAAAGTCTAAATAGGGTAAGGGCTCCCCTTCCGTATTTGGGGCAAGGAGTGATTTCTTGGCCACATCTGATAAGGCCTAGCTAGTTCCTGGGATTTTACCCATTTGACTAGAACAAGGGTTCATAATCACTGTTTCACAGATAACCTCCCTGGGTCCATAAATCCCCTGAAATTGTATGCAAATTTGTGTGCATATGTGTGTTTTTTCTGGAGAGAAAGGCCCATACTTCATGGGATTTTCAGTAGGCTTCTTGACCCCAAAATGTTCAGGACCATTTACCTCCATGGTAATGATCTGCTCAGCAAACTGAAAATACCCCTGTGAGAGGTACACTGTAACCATTTATACTTTGGTGGTAATGAAAAAATCGGAGAGTTTCGTAACAGGATTAGGATGAACTAGCTAGATGGGATGTTCTGTTTTTGTATGTAAAGAGGGAGTATTTATGTTGGAAGAGTGAAAGGGGAATTAGGGAAATGAAGATGCTGCGCGCTCGCTCGGCCACATCCCAGTTCTCTGCCCACCAGCCATTTTTGCCCAGAGCAGACCCTAGAACAAAGTCTCATTTATCTGAAAGAGCTCTGCGTGGCACGAGTCTCAAGTGGCGCCTGATTTCTGTTCTCAGACTGATCATTTAACACCTCCCAAGGGCGTCTCCGCGATACCATCGCAGGCGATAACGGTGCACCTCTCGGCTCTGGGGAGCCTGCCAAGCGCATCTGCCAGGTCCGGGAGTGTGAGTGAGGCTCCGTACCTGGCGGAGGGCGAAAGGCGTGCCCACCAGCCCTGCCATTCGAGGCGTAGGGGTGGGGGGATGTGGCAGCTATGCTGGTTTCAGCCTGGTCCCCGAGTCCCGAGTTCGCGTTCCTGCCATTTCCGAGCTCGCTGACCTGAGGCAGGTCACCGCCCCCCTGAACCTGTTTTCTATCTGTAAAATGAGAAGGCTGCAAGACCCCGACCCACCCAGGTGCCGTCTCTGCGCGAAGGTGCTGCCCCTTTAAGGAGGGCGGGGGAGCGGAGGACGTGGCCGCGCCCCCTTCCTCTCCTCCCGGCGCCCGCGGGACCACCTGTCTCCGGCCTCGCTCCGCCCCCTTGGAGAGGGGCGGGGGAGGGGGCGGGGAAGGAAGGCCGAGGGTTTACCTTGAGGGGCGGGCGCGCGGCGCATGCGCACGGCCGGACAGGTCCGCGGCGCCCTCACTTCCTGGCATTCCCCCTTCCCCCTCCTCGCCGTTACCCTGTACATCCGGGTCACTTGCCCTCCCCGCTCGGAGCTGCCGCCGCCGCCACCGCTTGCCTCGTCGGGGCTCCGCCACAGGGGCAGGTGCGGACGGGCTCCTGGTCCGGCCGCCGCCGCTGCCCCGCTCCGGGCCCGGGGCTCCCCCTAGCGCCGCTGAGGAGCCGCCGGCGCGGCTCGAGGAGGGCGGAGGAGCGGGTTGCGAGAGGCTGGAGGCTCGAGCGGAGAGTGAGTGGTGTCTTTTTACCCTTTTCCCCGCTTCCCTCGCACCCCTCGCCCGCCTGCTCCTCGACCCCATTTTGGCGGCGCGGCGGGGCCCGTGCCGGCGGGGCTCCCTCGTCCCCCGG